GACTCGCTCCTCCGAGACCCTCTCCCCCAGCCAATCGTCCGCCGCATCCCGCCTTCCTCATCATCACCGTATCTACGCACGCTGCAGAGACAGCAGGGTCATATTAGTTGCGCGTAGATTGGGGTGGGGCGATGGGGGCAGCCTTCTAAGAAGGCTGGGGGGGAGGCCTTGGAATCGGAGGCTTACGATAATTCATAATAGCTGGCAGGATGCCTCCCGAGAAGTCCCCAGCCTTCGTGGAAGCTAATTCCATTCCCCTCGCTCCCCCCTGTGCGCGTTGCTGAAGATCGCCACCAGACGCTCGCCAAGCACTTTGACATTTCTTTTCGAGCCCGAGCCCGAGCGTAGTGACTTAGGGATCTGCAGGCAGTCAGAGAAGCCGACACTAGACACAGACAGCGCGAGGCAAGCGACACCAACTACACAAACGATGGAAGACACAGGGTATAGCAAGGACGGGCCAGGCATCGACCTGGGATCAACGATGCATCGCCGATGGGCACCCCAGCAGCCGAAGCGCAGGCCGATGAGGGCGCCAAGCCACGCTGCCCCCAGTCGGCGGTGAGTGCGGGATCTGGTCTCAACGCTTCCCCAGGAGCCTGCCCCCCCCCCCCCCGCCCGACCCACCCCGACATGGTGGTTCTGTCACAGCGGTGGCCCCCCGAGGTCTGGACCCCTTGCATGTCCTGGGGCCAAAGTGAGCGCCGGAAGAAAACGGGGAGGCCTGCGCCGACGTTCGCGCGCCAGCTGCCCGCGCAAGGCCGCGCGTGGGCGCCCTCTCGCTTCCAGTGTGTCGCGGGCCTCGCTGGCCCATCGCGCAAGCCGCGGCGCAAGGCCGGCCGCCATGCCGTAGTGCGTAGGGCCCCCTTCACGTCGTCGCTCAAGCCCCTGGAGGAGGAGGAGGAGGAGGAGGAGGAGGAGAAGGAGGAGGAGGAGGAGGAGGAGGAGGAGGAGGAGGAGGACTGGAGGCCGAAACTGATCCCGCCCCCGCCGCGGTGACTTCTTCGCGACGCGGGCCCCCCCCCCCCCCGAGCCTGTGGCCCTGCCACCCCCCGCTCTCCTGCCAGGCGCTCGGCGATCCAAGCTCTCCACCCAGCACCCCGACGCCGCGATACTTTTTCACGACGTCGGCCCCCAGTTGAGGGATGAAAAAACGACTCTACCCTTGGGTTACAAGTGCGTGGTCTGTAAATCTCCTGGGAACCCCCAAAACCTAGAGCCGCCAGGACGCGGCACATCACGCAAGGTTTACCCTGTCAGCGCACAGGAGTTTCAGCGCACAGCGCCTCGTAAACCAGGGTAGGGGCGTTTTTTTCTGCCCTTGACCCAGATGTCTCGACCCCTTCCCCGGGGCGGGTTCTTTATCCCGAGTCGATCTGCGGACGGCCCCGAGGCCCTGTAAGGGCCCCTGGAGGCCAACAAAAAAAATGAAAAACATCCCACCAAGATTTTTTCGCAACGTCGACCCCCAAATGTCTCGACCCCTTCCCCGGGACCGGCTCTTCCTCCCGAGCCGTTTTTTGTGGAAGGCCCTGGGGCCCGGTCTCAGGGCCCCCGGAGGCCGAACATAGCGTTAGGTCGGGCATGTCCTCCTACAGGCGGGTTTTGGACGAAAAATCAAAAATAGTCAAACAAATACTCAGGAATGGTCAAAAATAATAGAGAAATCGTCCCCAGGCTATTCTTTTCAACGCATGTTTCTGGACTTCTTTCCCTCTGTAGAGGGACATGCCCGACTGAAACATAGCGAAGAACCCCCCCCGTCGTGATTTTTTCGCCGCGCGATGGGGGGGGCAACGCACGGCCCCAGAAGTCTCGGCGGTGGACAAACCTCCCTTTAGTAAACCTCCCTTTAGCGAAAGCGGCCTGGGACCGAAACCGACGGACCTGGACCCGCAAGAAGTGACGACCGCGACGCCCCCTCGCGAACCGAGAGCGGCCGATTCCTTCAGCGACGCGTCCAGCGTCCTCCTCCTCCTCTATCCTCCTCCTCCTCCTCCTCTCCTTCCTCCTCCTCCTCCTCCTCCCTCCTCCCCCCCCCTCCCTCCCCTCCCACTCCCCCCCCCTCCCCCTCCCCCCCTCCCCCTCCCCCCTCCTCCCCCCCCCCTCCCCCCTCCCCCTCCCCCTCCCCCCACCCCATCCCCCTCCCCCCCTCCCCCTCCCCTCTCCCCTCCCCTCCTCCTCCCCCTCCCTCCGGATGCCCGTCCTGGCCCGCCCCCCCGCGGCCACGCCCCAGATCCGCGCCGCGTGGCCTCTGGGGCCCGAGAGCGGGCCCCGGTAGGCCCAGGGGGCAGGTCGGGCGCGTGTCCTCCCCCTTCGGGCGGATTTTGGACGCGAAATGGGACATGATCAGAACATGGTCGCAGATCGTGCCGTTTTTTTTTGTTGTGTTTTGTTTTTTGTTTTTTGTTTTGTTATTCTTTTTTGTTGTTGGACGAGAAATCAGAAGAAACAGAACATTGTCAAACATGGCTAGCAGCAGTACACAGATCGTGCCCATTTTTGCTGCTGCTGTTGCTGTTGCTGTTGCTGTTGCTGTTGCTGTTGCTGTTGTTGTTGCTGTTGTTGTTGTTGTTGTTGTTGTTGTTGTTGTTGAACATTATTACTTCTAAAGAATAATTATTGTTGGGGCCCCTGGTGCACGGCCCCCTCGCCGCGCCTAGGCCGCAGCCATGTTTTCATCATTTTCGTGAGGAAGTCTCCGGCAAAACGGGTTGGTCCGGATCCGGTTGTTTTGTTACGGGCGGTTTTCCCTTGCAAAAAATAAGGCAAAGTGGACATTTCTTGTTCTAACATAACCAAACTTCAAGAATCCCTTGCAAAAAATAAGGTAAAGTGGACATTCGCGCGCGCAAGACGAAATCCTTCCAAAACCTTAGTGTTCGTAGCGATTTTAACATAAAAACATCAAAAAACCAATGGTTTTTCAAAAAAAGTGTCAAAATTTCATCCCGCGCGCTCTTGCGGATTTGTAGGAAACCCAACACTTTTTAAACATTTCTGTCAAACGGGCTTTTGCGAGCAACTTTTTCACGTGCTTCGAACTTCTCCAATAACGGTTGCGCACCTGCCAGGGCCATCATCCCTGTCAAATAATACCATGCGGGACACATTCGTTTTTTCTTCGCGCGCGCACGCCGAAATCTTCAAAAACCATTGAGGCCGGAACGACAACCGCAGAACAAGAATGAGCATGTATCGTCTCACAACAACGGAAACAAGTCCTGTGGTATGCTGGCGCCACCCACGTGGTACCACTCAAAATAAGTGTCTTCGCTTGTGTGGTACAGAAACGGAAAAACGTCGTATCAGACGCTAGCGCCTCACCAGCCAAAGCAGTCCATATCATTGTAGGACCTACAGACAGTACCGGCGTCGTACTGGTTTACCGTGGTTTCCTATTCTAGCGTCAGGAACACGTTACCACCAAAAACCAGTACAGGTGTCCAGTGTTGGAACAGGGGGAAAAGTCGTATACTAAGCTAGCGTCCAGAAAATGTTACCACAACAAGTCACTGTACCCATGCGCCAGTGTAGTAGCCACGGTCGTCCGCAGGCCACGAAGTGAAGTGTCCGAACGTCATAGGGCGGGAAGCTGGGTGTGGGTGGTGGCGAAGAGTCGTTTGGAAATGTGGTAGAGCTTGAACCGGCCCCCCCACAAAGTGGGGGTATTGGCGGGCGTCGTATGAAAACCCTGGCACTGGTGAGAACGGAGTGTCCCCACGTGCTAGTAATTGTTGTTGTTGTTGTTGTTGTTGTTGTTGTTGTTGTTGTTGTTGTTGTTGTTGTTGTTGTCTGTGTGTGTGTCTGTAGAAGGACATGCCCGACTTAAGTCGGGGATGGACAGACCTCCCTTTAGTAAAACGTGGTTTAGTGAAAACGACCTCGGGCCCAAATCTGGCGGGCGCAAGCCTGGAAAATAACGGCCGCGGCGCCCTCTCGAGAACCGAAAACGGACAATTCACTAATCGACGTGTCACTGTTGGGGGTTCTGTCCACCCCCGATTAAGCCCAGGACGCGGAAGAGACGCCCAGCTGGAACGAAGCGGATCGCCGGGGACCCGGGCTCCCGCCCCGCAGGGCGGGGGAAGCGCCGACGAGGACGAGGCCAAGACAAGGGTAGCACATCGGGCCAGGACACACCGGGCACCTCTGAAATCCGGCGGCGCTGGAGGATGTCTCGAGCGCCGCGGCCTCCTATCCTCCTCCTCCTCCTCCTCCTCCTCCTCCTCCTCCTCCCTCCTCCTCTCCCCCCTCCTCCCCCTCCTCCTCCTCCTCCTCCTCCTCCTCCTCCTTCTCGGAGCGTTCCTGAACGCTCTGAGAGCGCCCCGGAGCGTTCTGGGACGGACTTCTCCTCGTCCTGGGAGGTCGGGATGTCCTCCTACAGGAAGTTGGGAGAAAAATGAAACATAGTCAAACCATAGTTCAAAAGTCCAAAAACAATCCCCATGTTGTTTTTCGACTATTTCTGAAGATTCCCCCAGTTGAGGGACAGGCCTGACTTACTCCTGACCCCGTCCGACCGACCCCCCCCTGTCTCGGTCCGGAGGTATGAGCACAGCCACGGAGCCAGACGACAGCGGCACGAGGCCTGAGGGGGGGTCCGGCGGCTCCTGCCGCTCCCCTCGAGGCTCCATTCCTCCATCCTCGCCATCCTCCCTCCCAGTCGTCCTCCTCCCTCGTGCCTCCTCTCTCGCTCCCGACTCCTGGCTCCTCGTCCCTCCTCCCCCTCCCTCCCCCGCCTCCCCCTCTCCTACGCCTCCTACACCTCCTCCTTCCTCCTCCCCCATCCTTGTGCAATCTCTGCTGCGCAATATCCGTCGTGCAATATTTAAGAAGTGCAACTGAAATGGTGCAATATATGTGATGCAACCTGTGTTTTACAATCTATGTTGTGCAATACATTATGTGCAATCCCTAGGGTGCAATCTCTGAAAGCAATCTATATGTATACATATATATATACATATGGTGCAATCTATGTGGTGCGAACTGTGTTGTGCAGTCTATATAGCGCGCTCTGTGCGGAACAGCTCTGTGGTGCAATCTGCGCGGTGCAATCTTTGTTGGGCGATATATGTGGTGCAATATAGGTCGTCCAGTATATGTTGTGCAACTCATGTAGAATTACTGGTGCGTACATCTACGAGAAGCAGTACACGTTGTACACTACTGTTGTGCGCTATAGGTTGCACAATCTATGTTGTGCAATCTATGTGGTGCAACCTATGTGGTGCATTAATTTCTGTTCGCAGTGAGTTGTCCACTCCATTGCTCGCGCAATCATTCCACCCACCCACCCGCAACTTGGTTTGCAACATCTCTTAAGACCGTGACGGTGGGTACCAAATGGCACTTGGCCACGACAGCGACGCCGACGACGACAGCGACAACGACGACGACGACGCCGCCGACAACGACTACGACGACACCGACGACGTCTCCAACGACTTCGACGACGCCGACAACGACGACGACGACGACACGACGACGACGACGACGACGACGCCGACGCCGACGACGATGACAACGACGACGACGATGACGACGCCGACGACGACGACAACGACGACACCGACGACGACGACGACGTCAACGACGCCGACGACGACGACGACGACGGCGGCGACGACGATGACGCCGACGACGACGACGAAGACGACGACGACGCCGACGCCGACGACGACGAAGACGACGACGACGTCGCCAACGGAAACGACGAGGGAGGAGGGAGGACGACGACGGCGACAACGACGACAACGACGACAACGACGAGGGAGGAGGGAGGACGGCGATGACGCGAACGACGAATAAGGAGGAAGGACGGCGACGCCGACGACGGCAACGACGAGGGAGGAGGGATGACGACGACAACGACAACGACGACGACGACGACGACGGCGACGAAATAGGAGGGACGACGACGAGACGCCGACGACGGACGACGACGACGACGAGGGAGGAGGAGGAACGACGACCACGGCGACAACGACGACGGAAACGACCACGACGCCAAAAAGGACGACGACGGCGAACACGAGGAGAGACAGAGGACGACGTAGGCGACGACGACGACGACCACGACGCGGGAGGAGGGAAGACGGCGACGACGACGACGACGCAAGAGCGCGCGCGCACGCTTTTGTTGAAAATCCGTGTTGCGAAACCTTGTGCTTTCGTAGGTTTTTTTGACACACGATTTTGAAATCCTTCCGAAACCGATGGGTTTGAAGGATTTCGGCATACGCGCGCGACGACGCGCGCGTCTGCACTTCGTCCCGTTTTTTGCAGGGGATTCTCGCAACGGCACACGCGCAAGGGCGTTCGACAGATTTCGACATGCGCGCGCGCGAAGCCCGTTTGGTAGCATTTTGTGAAAATCTTGAAAAACCTATGGTTTTCTTAAGATTTCGCAAGAGCTCGCGCGTAAGCTTTTTTAGCAAATCAGTGTTGCGAAACCCTGTGTTTTTGTATGTTTTTTGGCAAATCGATTGCGAAATCCTTCCGGCACCGAAGGTTTTTGAAGGATTTCGGCATGCGCGCGCGACTACGCGCGCGTGTGCACTTCGTCCCAGTTTTTGCAAGGGATTCGCGAATAATTGTTATCTTATAACAAAGCATGTCACCGTGTTTTTCACAAGGGAATCTCAGGAGGGGGATACCGGTTGGCCTGGGACATTGTGATTTCATATTTAGGATGGACATGTGGTCATAATCATATTTCATTTACATACCCGACAGGGGGGGCGGGCGATAACACCGGGGGGGGGTAGAGTTCATTTTCTTTTTAGAAAGGAGAATCTACTTTGACTGTCGGGATGCTGTCCTGTCCGCTGCTGGTGCAAACATCCCACCCTACCACCCGCAACTTGGTCGCAAGAAATCTTAAGACCGTGACTGTAGGTACCAAGTGGCGCTTGGCAACGACACCGACGCCGATGACGACAGCGACGACGAACACGCCGACGACTACGACGACACCGACGACGACTCCGACGACTTTGACGACGACAACAACAACGACGACGACGACACCGACGGCAACGACGCCGGCGACGCCGACGGCGACGACGGCGACGACGACGATGACGCCGACGACGACGACGCCGACGACGACGACGCCGACGACGACGACGCCGACGAAGAAGACGACGACGACGAGGGCGACGAAATAGGAGGGACGACGACGAGACGCCGACGACGGACGACGACGACGACGACGAGGGAGGAGGAAGGACGACCACGGCGACAACGACGACGGAAACGACGACGACGCCAAAGAGGACGACGACGGCAACGACGAGGAAAGACAGGCGGATCGCGCCGACGACGATGACGGCGTCTTCGCGTCGGTGATACAGGTTCCCGAAGGAATTCGAAATTCTCGCGCGGCAGACGCGCGAGTGGCTCGCATGGTACTATTTGTCCCGGATCGTGCCACCCCAGTACGCGCGCAGGTGCGTTCGAACGGTTTCGACATGCGCGCGCGCGAAACCCGTTTGGTAGCATTTGATGAGCATGTTGAAAATCGCATGGTTTCCTTGAGAAGTCGCAAGAACGCGCCCATGTTTTCTTTGAACACCCGTGTTGCGAACACCCATGTTTTCAATATGTTTTTTAACAACTCGAATTTGAATTCTTTCACGAAGCGAAGGTTTTGAAGGATTTCGGCATGCGCGCGCGACGTCGCGCGCGTGTGCACTTCGTCTGTTTTTTTGCAAGGGATTCTCGCGACGGCACGCGCGCAAAGGCGTTCGAACGATTTCGGCATGCGCGCGCGAAGCCCGTTTGGTAGCATCTTATGAACATGTTGAGAATCGTATGGTCTTCTTGTTCGCAAGAGCGCGAGCGCACATTTTCTTTGTGTTGAAATCCGTGTTGCGAAGTCATTTTTACAAATTAAACAAAAAAGGGGCACTCGATTTTGAATTCCTTCCGAAACCGAGAATTCTTTGAAGGATTTCGGCATGCGCGCGCGACGACGCGCGCGTGTGCACTTCGCTCCTTTTTTGCAAGGGATTTTTGAAATCTTATGATTTTTGATAAACGAGTGTGCGCGCATAGTTTTTCATGCAGGGGATGGGGGGGGGGATACTGGCCCCCCTGGGATAGTGCGAATTCAAATTTAGGATGGACGATGGGGCAGGATCATATGTACATTGCAATACGAAAAATGTGGACCGTTAGGTCGGGGGGGGGGGTAGAACCGACATCTTTGTAGAAACGAATTATATATATACAACACAAAAAACTGGTTGACACATCCCATGCTCTTGCAAACATCCCACCTGCCCACCCGCAACTGGGTTTGCAAAACCCATGCGGCGGCGATTGCGATGAGTCCTTGGCGTCGGCTGGTGCATCCCTGCGGCCGCGCTAGCCCGCGCACGCTCGCACGCACAGCGGCCAGCTAGTATGGCGCGAACGACGCAGCCGCGGTGGCGCTGACCGCTGGGCAATTCCCAGCTGGCACTCCAGTGCGAGTCGGTGGCTTGGGCGGGCGTGGTATCATGGCCACGCCGACAAGTGTAGACACGATTGCGAAAGAAGCGATGATGGTGACGATGGTGGCGATGACGACAGCAAGGCCAATGACGGCGCCGATGTTGATCACGCCCGCCGATAGCGATGACGATGTCCTCGCGTCGGCGATGCAAGTTTTGAAAGAATTCGAAATGCGGGCGCAACCGACGCGAGCGAGTGGCCCGCGTGATATTATTTGACACGGGTCGTGCCCCCCCCCAACCACGCGCACAAGGGCGTTCGAATGAGTTCGACATGCGGCGCGAGAGGACGCTTGGCAGACTTTGATGAACGGATTGAACAACTTATGGTTTTCTCGAAAATCCGCAAGACCGCGAGCGCAGGCTTTTTTGTTTGAGAACTGATGTTGCAAAATTTCGGCATGCGCGTGCGACGACGCGCGCGTGTGCACGTCGTCCCATTGTTTGCATGGGATTCTTGCGACAGCACGTGCGCAAGGGGGTTCGAGCGAATTCGATATGCGCGCGCGACAGGCCCGCTTGGTAGCATTGTATGAACATGTTCTTCGTTTTACAATTCGCAAGAGCGCGGGCGCAGGCTTCTTTTGAAAACCTTTGTTGCGAAGCTATGCTTCGTTTGCTTGTTTTCACATCTGTATATATGTATACACGTGCTGTCGTGGTTACCGATTCGGAATTCCTTACGGAACGTTGAATGTTAGAGATTCGGGCATGCGCGCGTCGACGCGCGCGTGTACACTCCGTCCCTATTTGTTGAAAAGGGTTTCTTGGAAACTGGTGGTTCTTGATAACCGAATGTGCGCGCATAGTTTTTTCTGCAGAGGATGAAGGGGGGCGAACTCCGGCCTGGCTGGGACGGTGGGAATTAAAAAGGGAAAGTGGACAAGGAGGCATATCATTTGTAAACTGCAATGCGCGAAGCTGGCCCGATAACCCCGGGGGGGTGATGAGGGTAAAATCCAATCTCTTTAAAGAAAGGAGAAATGTAGGCGGCGGGGGCAGCGAGGGCGACCACGGAGCCGCCAGACCGGCACCCAGGCCCACGACGGGCGGCGACGGGGCGGTGACGGGGCAGCGAGGGCGACCACGGAGCCGCCAGGTTGGCACCCAGGCCCAAACGACGGGCGGCGACGGGGCGGTGACGGGGCAGCGAGGGCGACCACGGAACCGCCAGGTTGGCACCCAGGCCCAGACGACGGGCGGCGACGAGGCGGCGACGGGGCAGCGACGGCAACCACGGAGCCGCCAGATTGGCACCCAGGCCCAGGCGACGGGCGACGAGGCGGCGACGGGGGCGGCGACGGCGACCACGGAGCCGCCAGACTGGCACCCAGGTTCACTTCCCTTGGAGCAGCAAGTGAGAATCTGTAAGTGCAGACGCTGTCGCGGGAATGCAAACAAAAAGTTGCCCCGGACCCTGAAAGGAATATTCGAATCGTGGGCAATGTCGCCAAGAGAGTGTGTGTGTGTGCTTCCGACAGCGCAGTCACTCTGCCTAGCCGCCGACGCAGAACGTGTGTGTGTGTGTGTGTGTGTGTGTGTGTGTGTGTGTGTGTGTGTGTGTTTGTGTGTGGGTGTGGGCGTGAGTGTGTGAGTGTGAGAGTGTGTGAGTGTGTGAGTGTGTGAGTGTGTGTGTGTGTCGCGCAATTCGACACCTCCGCCTCGCCCACATGCCCTTCCAATTGAACTCGGGTTCCCACGTGTTGCGTGATCCGCCACGCATGGCCCCTCGGGACACCGTGCTCTAGACAGCTGACGTCTCAGAAGAGCGCGTGACGCGATTCTTCAGGTCACGGCTCACCCTGTGGCATGGCTGCCCCAAGGCGGCCCCGCAGCCCTGCGCCACTCTGCGGCCAACGACCCGCTGCACTGGCTACACGCAAGAGTGACCCTAGTCAAGAGTGACCTTCGGTACGCAGCTTCCGGGGGGCGCGGGGGGGCGAATCCAAGCCCGCAGGACAGTGCTGGGTGGACTCCCGTGTGCCCGCGCATCCGAACTGCATCCCACCTCCCGCTTGGGGGATTGACTGGCACGGCGCGCCGCCTCCCCTCCTCCGCCTTCTCCACCTCCGCCTCCTGCCACCTCCCCCGCGCTTGCACTGGCACCTCTCTCACTCAGCGACTCGCCTGGACGCTGCGGCCACACTGGAAACGCTCTCGCGCGGCACCCTCGCAGTGGCGCCTTGGGCGATGGGCTGCCAGAAATCCTCCCTGTAGAGCTGGACCGTGGCGAGGTTGTTCTCGCCGCCCAACTTCTCCCACCTGACGGTGACCTGCCCGTAAAGGGGCCCAGAGATACACAATTAACGAGACACAAACCTAGGACTCACCATATGTTGTTATTGTTTGGGATCGTCGCCATCCCCGCCACTTCCTATGGTTTCCACTATTTTCTGGTGGATCGTCGACTCTTCATGCCTGTCTGTTTTTGTCCCTCCTGAGCCAGGCCCCGCAACTCCTCCTGCTGCCGCCCTTCCTGCCGCTGCTGCCGCTTCTTGCTCTGTCTGATGCTGGCGCTTGCACCTCTGGCTCGTGCGGCTGCTGCTGTAACCTGGGCTACTCCTGCTGCCCACAGCCTGGGAGATCGGTTGGTCGCAACTTCGGCATGGATACGGACTCACATGCATAACGAGGAGGAGGAGGAGGAGGAGGAGGAGGAGGAGGAGGAGGAGGAGGAGAGGAGGAGGAGGAGGAGGAGGAGGAGGAGGGAGGAGGAGGAGGAGGAGGAGGAGGAGGAGGAGGAGGAAGGACGAAGGAGGAGGGAGGACGGAGGAGGAAACGGACTCCTCCTGCCGCACCTCCTCCTACCCTTCGGCCGCTGGCCGCTGCTCCCCCGCCCCAGCTCCTCCCGCCCCGCAGCCCGGGCCCTATTCCCCCCTGCCCTGGCTGCTCCCCCTCGCGCTCAGATGCTGCCGCCTCCACGCCCCACGGCTCCTGCGTCCTGCTGCCCCCTCCCGCTCCTCCTCTGCCCTCTTCTCCTGCTGATCCTCTCTTTCTTTGTTTCTTTATTTTTGGTTGTTTCTCTCTCTCTCTCTCTCGCTGTCTCTCTCTCTCTCTCTCTCCCTCTTTCCTCCTTCTTCTTCTTCTTCTTCTTCTTCTTCTTCTTCACTCTCTCTCTCTCTCCTTCCCTCTCCCTTTCGCGCTCTCTCGCCCCCTCTCTCTATGTCTCTCCCCCTCGTTATCTTTCCTCCTCTGCCCTCTCCTCCTGCTCCTCCTGCCTTTTGTTTGTTGCTCTCTCTCTCTCTCTCTCGTTCTCTCCCTCGTGCTCCTCTGCCTCTGCCCCCCCCCTCCCCCGCATCCCCCCTCGACCGCCCTCTCGGCCCATCCCCCGCGCCCGAGCCGGCCTCGTCGCCAGGCCGCCACTGCAGGCCGCCCACGACCTCGACGCCGAAGGCGCTCGCCTGGCTCGCCCGTCCGCCTCCCCGCCGCTGCCCAGCGCGGCCCTCGACCGTCGAGCACGGCAAGCTCTTGCCGCGACAACCTCCTCCTCCTCCTCCTCCTCCTCCTCCTCCTCCTCCTCCCCTCCTCCTCCTCCTCCTCCTCCTCCCCTCCTCCTCCTCCTCCTCCTCCTCCTCCTCCCCCTCCTCCTCCCCCTCCTCCTCCTCCTCCTCCTCCTCCTCCTCCTCCTCCTCCTCCTCCTCCTCCTTCCTCCCCCATCCAACTTGTGGTGCTCAGTTCGTGCCGCGACAACTTCGGCGTTGGCCTCTGGCGCCGCGTGGATCGCTCAACCTTGATCGATCGCGGCCCCCCGGTAATCAGGCAACTCGCGCGGATCGCTCGATGTCGGCCGAGGTCAACCTTGAACGACTGCGCCGGGGACGCCGCCGCGTCGACACGACACGAATCTGCTGCATCGAGGAAGGCAACCCTTGGATGACTTCGGTGCGTTTTTTCAAGGTACTGTGTGCCGGAGGCAGAGGTTGCCACCTGCCTCCCTCCCCCCCTAGTTCCTACATCTTTTCCCGTCGGCTGTTTCCCTTAGTCGATATCCCCCTTCCTTTGCCTTCCCTCATTGGCCTCCTTCTTCTTCTCCTCCTCCTCCTCCTCCTCCTCCTCGTCGTCCTCCTCCCCCTTCCTCAACCCCTCTTCCCCCTAGATCCTTTCCCCTCGGCTTCCTGCCTGGAATAGTTATTCCCCTTCCTCGTCTTTCCTCCGTCGCCGATAGATCCGATGGGCCCCGGTAGCGAAGCCGCGTGCCCCAATGTTTGCGGATCGATTGGCCTATGGGCCAAACATCTCTAATCAAAAATCTTAGCGGTCGAGGGCCCTGGCTCGCCCTGGAAGGCGGCCAGGCCCCCGTCAGGTTTTCGTGCTCGCGTCCTGCCGTGACTCGCGAGAACGCCCCCGGAAGGAAAACAAGAACAAAAGAATAATAACCGTCTGCGATCGTTCCCCGCGGTGGCGACGATGCAGGGCCCCGCCCTTTCAAGCGACAGTCTCGAGAAGACACATATGCTGCGGACACCAGCGGGGGCGGCCACGGCACGAGCGGGGGGAGGGGATGAGGAAGGGTGGATAATAGGGTAAGGCCGGAAACGGGCCCGCGACCCCCCGAAACCCTGACGGGGATGCCGGGAGAAACAAACATGCACCACGGACGAGGGGTAAGGACCCCCCCCCCGCCCAAAAGCTCCAAGCCGGGGGCTCTCAGGTCAAACTTACCCCGGGGCCCCGCCCAAGAAAACAAAAGAAAGAGAAAACACCCAGGGCCCCCGAAACGTAAGACACGGGCGCGCATCTTCGGGGGCCACAGGAGAGGGCAGAGGAAGGCGCCACTCCTCATGACAGAGGAGGGGTGGCCACGCCCGAAGGCGGCTCTTCTAAGTGCATCAGCCGCAAGAGCCTTTCCGCGTGCAAATTGTCGAGCTTCTTTGGCAGAAGGCTGACTTCAGCGGAAGCGGTCCAACCGGTCAATGTATAAATGCATCGAGTGCACGGACGGTGCCTGCGCATTTTTCGTTTTTGTGTGTGTATATATATAAGCAAATAGATAAAGCAACGACGATGTCCATGGCCCAGGAACAAGGGCGGACGAGCGCAAACTTCCAAGGCGAGTCCACCGGTAAAAGAAAAACGGCGACGAGAGACGCGAACTAGTGAGACGACGGAGAGGGCCAACAGGGAACGACATTGGTGGAAGAAGTCCAAGGGCGAAGCCAAAGAGCTCGAGATGTGCAGAACCAGCCTCGCAGCATCACCGGCGCAGAAATGCCGTCGTTCGGCCCCCGCGCTCTGGCTTGTGGGAGATCTTAGGGCCAGGAATCCCTACCTCCAATGATACTTCTGCTGTTGGCTCCAGGGCCCCGCGGGCGGCGCCTCTTCAGGAGCGGGCGCCGGGGTGCCTGGCGTAGGCTGCAGGGGTCTCGATCCTGAACCGAACGCCACTGCGAGCCACGTGTCTGCCGAGTCTACGACTCCTAAGGTGTATTATTGTTGGGGGCCGCGAACAGCGCGGCAAAATGTACCGCCAAATGCTGTGCCACTGAAACGCATCGTGGGTCGCGCAAACACGCATCTAACAGCGCTTTCGGCCAAGGTGCTAACCCCCGGAGAAAAATGCAGCACCGCGAAGAGACAGGGTGCCGCTGCGGGTGCAACGTGGCGCGAACATCGCGGCGCGTCGCGGCAGACTGAATCGCTGTGGCGTCGGGTTTCCCAACCGCAGTAGCTCCGGGTCAGGTTGCCCCGCCGCCGCGGAGACAAACCTCGGCTGGCGCTGAGCGTCGGGTTTAGACAGATCTCGGCGAGCGCTTGGCGTCAGATTTCCCCGCCGCAGTAGAGGGGGCCCCCGGCGAGCGCTGAGCATCAGGTTGCCCCGGCGCAAGGGAAAGCGATCTGGCGGAACGTATCGCGCCAGGTTTTCCAGCCGCGAAGTTGAGCAACCTCGAAAGGTGATGCTGAGGTCATCATTTCTGAGGATGTTGCTGCCTGCTGTGGCAATTTTCGTTCGAACTCGCAACTGTCCGCGAAAGACTCATACAGTGTTGCAGTATCCTCAATCACGCGGAGCCGGATGAAACACTAATCTGGTACACCAGAGGCAGGGCTCGTTGTCTCATACACTTCCTGTTTCCACTGTCGGAGGTATGGTGCAACAGGTCGGATTCGGTATTCAATGTTTTCGGTCTCTGTGTATATCATGTCATTTAGCAATCTCCGAACTGCATCTTCTGCGGCGCTGTGCCGCTCATGATTAGAGGATCCACCGCCCGTGCCGTGAGGCTCATTCCCGAAGGGTGGGGGGTGGCGCACCTTCATGCTGTTCGGATGGGTGGTCGGGCCCGCTGGGCCATTATCGGTGCAATGCGCTCGTGCTGGCCAAGGTTCTCAAGTTTGTGTGTGTGGCTGCTGCCTTTGTCTTATGCACCTGTTGCCTTCAACACGTTTGGCGTTAAATTGCTTCGCCGCACTGTGCCGGTGTGCCAAGCGCGTGGCGTCAGGTTTCCCCGCCGCAGACTCACGCGCAGGGGGTGCGAGGACACTTTGCTTTGGTACCATTGGGGACCTGGTCTCACCGCCTGTCCACTCCGCAAGTTCGTGCGGCTGTGATGACATGGGCACAGGCTGTGGTATTCTTATTGCTGGGCTCACGTGCCTCGTAACCAGTGATGCCTGTCTAGAACAAATTAAAGAACGTTTCCGATTCATTTTGGTAATCGTCCAGTCTTTTGTTAACCCGATCGGTCAACTTATCTGGCTTGGCAAATTCAGCCTATATTTTAGTCCTATCCAGGCTCATGGCTTTCATCACGTTTTGGCTCTGGAGCTGGTTGTTGTAGTCGGCAGTTATGTGTTCGCACTCCTCGAGTTTTTCATGCGTGTCTCTGACCTGTTGCTATAGGCAGTTTCGTGCGTGGAGATCACGTCGCTATTTGTAGAGGCTTGGCCATCTGTGTTAGCAAGTCATCGCGATGCTTATTCCAAACTTATTGCCCCCCATTCTCGGTTTCAGCCCTACTGAATTGTTGGCCCAGTATCGTAACCTGTCCATAGGGATGTACGCGTTACTATTCTATCTCAGTTGATGCTCCTCATCCTGATCCCTGTCGCTCTGGGCCACGCGGGCCTCGACAGCAACACGAGCTTCAGCATCGATAGCTGGGCGGGCTGTTTTTGGTCGATGGCGACCCCCCGAAACCCTGACGGGGATACCGTCCAAAACAAACATGCGCAATCTGCGATCTGTGGGCGATTGGGGGTCGATGCTCCCCCCTTGAGCAGTCCCCCACTGTCGACGTCCTCCCCCGCCTTTCTCTCTCCGATGCGTGAACACGATCCCCCTCCCCCCTCTGGGTCGGGCGGGAGAGCCGCCGTTATCTGAACTGGCCCTCCTCCGCGGTTCACGCTCGATAGTCTAGCCCTCCTCCGAGGTTCACGCTCCTCCTTCCCCCTTCTCCACCAGATGCGCCTAGGCAAGCTCTGCCAACACAGGCCCCTGCCGCTCGGCTCCGCTTGCGAAGATCCAGCGCGCAGGCTCTGCTCGCGCACTCCAGCTCTTAGAGTCTCTGCTTGCGTAGGCGCACTTGCGAGGCTCCACCTGGCCATCGCTCGGACGTCCATTCCCTGTGTTTTTTTCGATTTCGTGCGTGGTTTTTCGCCAAATGATCAAGGATGCTCCTCGATGGTCCTCGCCGAGGAAAAAACGCACACGTCCGAGCGATGCCAAGCCACTGGCAAACGTCACAATGGTAAGGAGGGTCTCCCTCCACGGATGCTCTGGCAGTGTTGCGCTGGCAGTGCTCGAGGGGAGCGCGACGGCTCCAGATCAAGACGGCGAGCACGAACGCCACCGCGTCCACCCGCCAGCCTAAACAAACCAACTGTTTTATCCGCCAACTACGCAGTGCGCATGTGGAACAGTTCACAGCGACTGCACTACCCAGGCACGAGACATACCTCTGCACACGCACCTCGCTCTGAAACCACTCAAGCCGCTCGCTCTTTGCGTAATACACAGAGCTCATAATCATACGTCGAGGTTTCCGGGGGGTTGTTTCTGGTGTGGCTCTGGCTGCCCCGGGCGCGCTTGTCGCTGTGCGCTTGGCCCACATGCTGCCCCGTGCTTCTCGGTCCTGGCGGACGGCGTCTCAAACATTGTCTCTCCTACCTCTCCGTCGTTCCTGACCGTCCCGACCCTCCCTCCTCCCGGCCTCCCTCCTCGCCCTCCGCCTTCTCCTCGCCCCTCTCCCATCCCCTTCCTTCTCAATCATACCTGCCCCGCGTATCCACCTCTCGTCCTGCGCCCCCTCGCGTTTCAATTTCCACCCTCCCTCTGCGATGAGGATGGATGCGGGTGTGAAGGGGCCCTGGGACACACAAATAAATAGACACAAATAAAAGGATTCCCCATATGGTTGCATATTTTCTGGGTCTCTGTCTTCCCCCCCACTTCCCACCTTTTCCCATCTTTTCCTGCGGATCGGCGATTAATTGTGTTTGTGTGTTTTTTCCCCTCCTGAGGGTGGCAGGGCGAGGACGGAGGGACAGGAAGGGAGAGAGGGATGGGGAGGCCGAGCGGAACCTGAAGGCGCCAGCTAGGGACACCTGCACCGATCCTGGCCCAGCCTTAGGCCGGGCACGTCCCCCAGACAGGCGGATTCTGGGAGGACAGATCAAGCATAGTCAAACATTGATCAACCATAGCAAAACAAAGAATGAACAATGCGTGCCCAGACTATTTTTTTGACTATCTTTGAATATCCCTCCCGTAGAGGGACAAGCCCGACTTACGCCCAGCCCCTCGTGGGCCCCAGGGCCGGTGCCGTAGGGCCGCTCCCGAGTCGGTCGGCGCGGGGCTCTGCTGAAATGGGCCTGGCGCCAGTATCGGCGCGCTGGCGCCCCCCGACGGGCGGAGGGACGAGGGCGGACGCCCCACACTCCCCGAGGGGGGGGGGACCCACCGCTGGCGCCGAAGAGGACGGCGGCGGCAGCGGCGACGGCGGCGACGTCGCCGACGAGGCGCAGTGCGGCTACACGCAAAAGGTTTTTTTTTTTTGTTCACTGAAGGTGTCCTCAATAGGAGGCGGAAGTCCTCCCGTGCGCGGCCAACGAGGGGGGCCACGGGGGGGGGGGGGGGGGGCGCAGCCCAGCGCGCAGGCCCGTGCTGGGGGGGACCCCTGGTGGGCCCGCACCAGGCAGGGAGCCCCAAGGCGACGGACGCGCCCCGCCAAGCACACGAATAGGGCGACGAGCAGTGACCTGAACAGAAAACCTCGGAGGTCCGCGCGGACCTCCGAGTTTTTATGTTTATGCCGTTGTTCGTTCCCCTGATGAAGCCGCTCACCACTCCGCAAGGCCGCCCTCATGACACGAACGCTCGCCGAACGAGCTCTATCTCGAAACCCATGTGTGAAAGGGGGAAGGCCAGGTGGGGAGCAGGCCAGGTGTGAAAGGGGGAAGCATCGAACTTGAATCGTCGATGCATCGCCACGGTAAAAGAACCCGATAGCCAAACGGACGTTCCTGGGCCGGTTGGGCGATTCGGCCCCTAGCGGCGAAGAACGGGCGATTGGGGGTCGGTGCGTTCCCTGGTGACTTGGCCCCTGACATTGCCCTGATGCCACTCCTAACGTTGTCCTACCGTTGCCCCTAACGAATCTATGGCCCCCTGACGTCGCCCCTGCCTGTGGATTTGCACGCGCGTGCTTCTCTGTTTCGCTCCTTACCAAAGTTCGCTCCGTCGAAGGGCCACTCTCCCTAGACCTCCGATGCCGTGTTTTTTCGCCGCGTTGACCCCCACACATCTCGACCGCTTTCCTGGGATGGGCCCCGAGAGTCCGAAAACAATCGAACACCATCCCTCGTGTTCTTTTACACGACGCGAAGGGGTATAAGTAGTTGAGCAGGGACCGAACGTCCCAGCATTCCTACATATAGGCCTACCAAGAAATCCTCTTAGAACCTCACAGTGCTCTATCCAAGCAGAAAGTGTTCTTGGAACAGAAAGCCGATCTACAGCGAACGCTTTGGTCTGAGCCATACAGGTTCCAAGGGCATTTCGCGCAGGCCGCGAAAGGTTCTTAGAGCACTATTCGGTGGGCCACAGGGAGGTCATGACGCTTCGCCGCTGCTTGACATGGGCTTCGCACAGGCCGAGGCGGTGGGCCAGGCCTGCGTCCGCACCTCGGCCACGGCAGCTTCCGCCCCGCCGCCGCCCGCTGGCGCGGGCGCCTGCGCCGCAGCGCCCTCGGTGCCGTCGTCCTGCGGGCCCCCCATGGGGAGGAGGTGGGGTGACTCCTCGGCACTGGCTGGCGCATCTCTTACAACAGGGCTAGGATCGGGATAAATCGCTCCAGAGCGTTCCGGAGCGCTCTCAGAGCGTTCTGGAACGCTCTGGAGCGGCCGCGGCGCCCAATACATCCTCCAAACCCGCCGATTCTCAGAGATTTCGAGTTATCCCGATCCGATTTCGTTCCGATCTTCGCGTCGTTTTATTTCTGCGGCGGCTGCGCTGACACGCGCAAGCTCGCGCGCAGACCGGCCACCTGCTTCGGCACAGCCGAGGCGGCCGTGATGGCGCCTGCCGCTGGCCACGTCCCGGCGCGTTTCAGAGGCCGCAAGACCCGGACCTTCGCGGCGCGCGCAAGGGGGGTGGGCGCGAGGGGGGCGGCCTCGTCAGAAGGCGAGGGGGGCTTCTAGAATGGCAGGGGCCTTCTTAGAATGGCTCGGAAACGTTCGCGAAGCCTTCTTAGACGCCTCCTGCCCCTTCTAAGTTTTGTTGTGGTTGTTGTTGTTGTTGTTGAACATTATTTATTCTAAAGAATAATTATTGTTGGGCCCCCTGGTGCGCGCCCCCCCTGCGCCGCCTAGGCCGCAGCTACATTTTCATCATTTTCGTGAGGAAGCCTCAGGTAAAACGATGTGATCCAGATCCGGTTGTTTTGTTGTAATCCGTTTTCCCTTGCAAAAAACACTATAAAATGACATTTCTTGTTCTAATATAATCAAATTTCAAGAATCCCTTGCAAAAAATAAGGTAAAGTGGACATTCGCGCGCGCAAGACGAAATCCTTCCAAAAGCTTAGTGTTCGGAGCGATTTTAACATAAAAACATCAAAAAACCAATGGTTTTTCAACAAAAAAATGTCAAAATCTCATCCCGCGCGCTCTTGCGGATTCGTAGGAAACCCAACACTTTTTAAACATTTCTGTCAAACGGGCTTTTGCGAGCAACTTTTTCGAACTTCTGCGACAACGGTTGCGCACCTGCCAGGGCCATCATCCCTGTCAAATAATACCATGCGGGACACATTCGTTTTTTCTTCGCGCGCGCACGCCGTCGTCGTCGGCCGCGGGGCCCTGAATAGTAGCCACGGTCGTCCGCATGCCACGAAGTGAAGTGTCCGAACGTCATAGGGCGGGAAGCTGGGTGTGGGTGGTGGCGAAGAGTCGTTTGGAAATTTGGTAGAGCTTGAACCGGCCCCCCCACAAAGTGGGGGTATTGCCCGCCTCCTATGAAAACCCTGGCACTGGTGAGAACGGAGTGTCCCCAGTCTTAAATGATTGTTGTTGTTGTTGTTGTTGTTGTTGTTGTTGGTGTCGCTGTCGCTGTCGTTGTCGTCGTTGTTGTTGTTGTTGTTGTTGCTGTTGTTGTTGTTGTTGTTGTTGAACATTATTAATTCTAAAGAATAATTATTGTTGGGACCCCTGGTGCACGGCCCCCCTGCGCCGCCTAGGCCGCAGCTACATTTTCATCATTTTCGTGAGGAAGCTTCAGAAAAGTGGATGTCCAGATCCGGTTGTTTTGTTGTAATCCGTTTTCCCTTGCAAAAAACACTATAAAATGACATTTCTTGTTCTAATATAATCAAATTTCAAGAATCCCTTGCAAAAAATAAGGTAAAGTGGACATTCGCGCGCGCAAGACGAAATCCTTCCAAAAGCTTAGTGTTCGGAGCGATTTTAACATAAAAACATCAAAAAACCAATGGTTTTTCAACAAAAAAATGTCAAAATCTCATCCCGCGCGCTCTTGCGGATTCGTAGGAAACCCAACACTTTTTAAACATTTCTGTCAAACGGGCTTTTGCGAGCAACTTTTTCGAACTTCTGCGACAACGGTTGCGCACCTGCCAGGGCCATCATCCCTGTCAAATAATACCATGCGGGACACATTCGTTTTTTCTTCGCGCGCGCACGCCGAAATCTCCATCTTGTGAGTACGTATCATGTGTATCATGTGTATCATGTACCATATGCATCATATGCAACAGATGTTCTGTGGAAGGCTTAACAAATTCTGTGGGTTAACAAGGCTTAACAACTTCTGTGGGTGTACGAACGTAGGCTTAACAACTTCTGTGGGTGTGTACTCCACGCCAGTGTAGTAGCCACGGTCGTCCGCAGGCCACGAAGTGAAGTGTCCGAACGTCATAGGGCGGGAAGCTGGGTGTGGGTGGTGGCGAAGAGTCGTGTGGATATTTGGTAGAGCTTGCACTGCCCCCCCACAAAGTGGGGGTATTGGCTGGCGTCGCATGAAAACCCTGGCACTGGTGAGAACACTGAGCGTTCGGGTAAAGTGATTGTTGTTGTTGTTGTTGTTGTTGTTGTTGTTGTTGTTGTTGTTGTTGTCGCTGTCGTTTCTTCGTTTCCATATATATAAGACAAAACAAGAAAATACATACGAACACATATATATATATGTGTATATGCACATATATGTATATATATATATATATATATATATATATATATCGAGAGAGAGAAACATACATCATTAGTTATATATACATATATCATGTGTTGTTGTATCTCCGAAGGCCGCCCCCCTGGCCCCCCCACCTCGTGCGCGCTGCCAAAGGCCCCCTCTCGCGCTGCGAGCTAACACCCCCGCGCACAGACTCGTCGGCCCTGGGCGCCCCTTGGGGGGGGGGGGTCCTTGGCGGTGCACTGAAGGGGCCGTCAGGCATCGGCTCAGGAGGGAGCGGCGGTCCAGGGAAAAGGGGGCGGTGCCTCGCTGCCAGAGGCCCCCTCGCGCTGCGAACGAAGACGCGACGAACGGACTCGTCGGCCGCCCTGGGCCCCCCCTTGGGGGGAGTCCTTGCGGTGCTCTGAGGGGCCGTCAGACATCGGCTCAGGAGGAAAATGCGGCCCTGGGAAAGAGGGCAGGGCCTCCGGGCGTTCTCGTCGTGAAGAAACCGCGACGTCGGACATGTGGGGAGTCGCCACGAGATCGCGTGGCGTCCTGAGGGACATGGAGCTCGTGGGACAAGGCTTGAAGACGTGCTTCTGCTTCTTGGAACCCCTGGGACGCTCCTCGTCGCCGCGGCTGGATTCCCCTCGACCTTTTGGTTAAAACGCACTCCGAGAGAGGGCCCAGCATGTTTTCTTTGACGGTCGCCATGGAGAGAAACCACCCTGAAGGAAACAAATCATGATCTGTTCTCTCCTCTCCAGGCTCTCCCCCGGCCCCCCCCCCGCGCCCGCGCGTTCTTTCCCCGCCCTTCGTGCCTCGATGAGCCCCGGCGCATCCCGCTGCTGCTCGCCCACCGTCTGATCCCTTATGGCCGCTGGCTTCAAAAGTTTCACCGTCTTCTGCCTCCCCGTGTCCCAAGTTGACTAACAGGAAGGGGCTCGGGGACACACACAAATCGATGCACAAATCCTAGGACCCCCGACCTTTTCCATATCTTCTGGATGCTCGCCTCATCCTCCACTTCCCACATCTTCCAAATGTTTCCATGGGAATCGGCGATTCGTTGTGCCCGTGTATTTTCTCCCCCTCACGATAACAAGCGCCTCGGGATGAACCAAAGACGGTCTCCGGGAGCGCCCCGGGGGCGCCAAGAAACCCGCTCCCCGCCCGGACACCCCTCTCTATAGGGGCCCCTCCGCGCGACCCCCTCGCAGTAGGGAGGCAAACGGCGATGACAGGAGGAGGAGGAGGGCGGAGGAGGAGGAGGAGGAGGAGGAGGAGGAGGAGGAGGAGGAGGAGGAGGGAGGAGGAGGAGGAGGAGGGGGAGAGGAGGAGGAGGAGGAGGAGGAGGAGGGGGACAAGCTAGGTGCGCTCGCTTCATATCTGACATCCTACCCCTTCCTCCCATCCCTTACCATGGCGTAGATCCCCTCTCTACTCGCACAGTCGGATGTTGAGCAGGGCAACGATCCCGAAAGGGTACGCGATGCATTGTAGAGCACGGCATGGCATGGCGTAGAAGAGCACCGCAAAGCGTAGTATCAACCTAGCATTGCATTGCATGTCGTGGCATGGCGGGAAATGACGCCAGCGCTGCAGCGGGAGCAGGAGGGCTTCTCTGAGGCCCCGCCGCCTCCTGAGAAGGCCTTCTCCTCGTCACTTTCCCCCCCGCCCTCGCTCGCCGCCGAAAAGCAACCTGGAGAGGCGCAACGACGCGGCAACGGCACAATAACCGACCGAGCCGAAGCGACCGAACGTAACCGACCGCACCGCGATCGCACCGACCGAGCAGCCTTGTAAAGGGGGGCAGCGATAGGAGGGGACTGACTGGCATAAGGGGGGGAGCATCGACCTGGAATCGACGATACATCGCCGATACATCGGCGAGGCGCCCCAGATAGCGAATCTGCACCTTCCTGGGCGGCCAAGCTTGGGTTATCATACCCCCATCCAGAAGACAAGAAACCGGTAGAAGCATTCAATTTTGGCGCTCCGTGCGGATTTCTTGGGTCTGCGCTAGACCTCCCCCTCCCTGGCGCGCGGAGCGCGCCAGTGGCGGCGCCGGAGGCGCCGCCAGGGGGGGGGCCCAGCGCGGATGCGAGAAATCCGCGCGGAGCGCCCGCAGTTTATTATGTTTATGCCGTTTTTTCTTCCTCGACTATCGGTGATCAATTGGCGATTGGGGGTCGATGCATCCCCACCCCTATGCCCATCACCCCCCCTACCCTTGCCCCTGACCGTGCTCTCCCTCGTGCCAGGAGGGGACGCCGCTGGCTGGCAAAACGCTCCTGGGCGCGTGGGCCCGTCTCGAGAGTGGCCCGCGCCGAGACTTCGGGGCTCGCGCTCGGGATCGGGCCCCAGGGCCCGCCCGTTCCCTCGGTCGGTGGGTCAAAGATGGGGACCTGAGGGACGGGGTCCTGAGGACGAGGTGCCTCAAACAATGTGAATCCATTCTTCGATTACTTCCCAGCCTTGGGACCCCATCCCTCAGGACCCCATCTTTGAACCACCGACTCGGCTGCGCCTCGCCAGGGGATTCTCAACCGGCGTCTCTCGACCGCTCCTCTCCATGGCGGGCTTCTGGATGCCAGAGCGGCGGCAACACGAACCTGTCCTAGGACGCGATCTCCGTGCGTTTTGCCAGGGGTGGGGAGGTTTGGGCATCCAACTGCGACGCCTGCCAACTGGTGAGAACATTTGGGCCCCACACTGCGGCCACAATGCTGCTGAACACAGCGGCCCCAACGACAAATCGGCTGCAACGCAAGAGGGGGTTCAGTAAGCGTCAAGATGCGGTGAATGCCCCCCGCTCAGGGTGCCCACGTACGACCTCCATTAGCATCACAAAACCGAAGAGACAACATGCGAAGAGGGGTGCTGCCTTCTTTGAACTTGTTTGGGGGGGAGGCGCTGTCCTCTTGATATTGGTTCGACCGAATGAATATGGGACGAATGTATAAGATGCCCAACAGCAAATTTTGTCCAACACCAGCAACCGCTGCTGGGCAGGCGCTTATCTGTCTACATCTGACAACGTCCGCGGTGACGCCGACAACAACCGTGCTCAGAATGGGCAAACGCTACTATCCGTCTCCGTCACCCGTCTTTCCGTGCCCACGCCGACCGTACCGATGAGACCTTTCAGCGACCGCCCCGCCGCCTCCGGCGTGCTGGGCGCGTCCGCGGCGCCTGCTGGGGCGGCGCTGGCTGGCGCGGCCTCCGCCGGTGCAGCGCTGGCCGGCCCAGCGCCGGCGGGAGCGGCACCCTGCGACCCCCGGCCCTTCGAGGCAGCGCCCTCGGCGGCCCCGGCGCCTGCAGCACCGGCGCCGCCCAGCGCGCCCTCCGCCCGCGCAGTGCCAGCGGGCGCGCCGCCGGCGGCCTCCGCCCCCCGGGGAGCCGGTCGGCGGGCGGCGCGTCGGCGGGCGCGGCGCCGCGCCGCGGCGCCGGCGGCAGCGGCGCCGGCGGGCGCCGCGTCCGCCGGCGCAGCGTCGGCGGGCGCGGCGCGGGCGGGCGAGGCGCCGGAAGAGGTGCGGTGGCGGCGCTGGGCGGGGAGCAGCGCAGCGCCGGCGGGTGGGGCGTCTGCCGCCGCGGCGCCCGCGGCGTCCAGGCCGAAGAGCGGCACGGAGTTCAGGAACTTCCCTGGGGCGGGGCGGCGCGGGGGGCGGCGAGGCCAGCCTCGTGAGCGGGCCTCTCGCACCTGCGCGCGGGCCCAAGAGCTCGACGCCGGCGCTGTCCGTCAAAGCGGGGGCAGGGAGCGTGGGGGCTTGGGGGCCCTCCAGGCCCCAAGCTCTGGCCGAAGTCGGCGCCTTCTGCCCGCAACGCCGACCGCAGCATGTCAATCCTGACAGAATCGGCCCCAGAACTCAGTCTCCCAGAGATGGCCAGGACGCCTCAAGAGCAAGTGCAAGTGGACAAGACTTGCAACGTGATTGGCAGAAGCCGCCGGGTACAAGTGTCCCGACTGGGCTTCGGTATGCCGAGCTACGGCTGGCCGCTTCCCTGATCTGCCTCTTCGACTTCTGGTGCCGAGTGATTATTCGTGTCCTCTCTCTCTCTCTCTTTCTCTCCCGCCCTCCCTCTCTGCATATATATATATATATATATATATCGGTGCTCGTAGGATAGATTCCCGCAGCAACAGAAAAGAACGAGGAGGGGCCTGCGCACGTGCACCCTCAGGCCTGGTGGGACGGGCTCTCGCTACAACCCCCCCCTGCCAGCTCCCCTTGCCGACTCTCCCCACGAACTCCCCGTGCTGGCCCCCCCTGCGAACTCCCCCCACGAACGCGCGCAGGGACGAGGCAAGACCGTGGGGGATGCGCCCCATCGCTCTGATGTTCGGCGGCGAGCCTGGGGGGGGGGGGAAGTGAGAAGGAGAGGGGGGGGCACAGACGGCTCGGAAGTCCCTGGGCCTTCTGGGCAGTTTTCTGAAGCCTCCCCAAAGACACAGAACACTCCTCAGCAGGCGCGAGGCCCTCTGAGAAGCCCCGCCGCCTCCCGAGAAGGCCTTCTCCTGCTCACTTACCCCCTCTCGCTCGCCGCGGAGACGTGTGCAGTCGACCCGCATCCCAAGGATGCGCGATGAGGATGCAAGGGCCCTGGACGCCCATTTCGAAGCTCTTCTAGGGGGCGCGGCCCACGAAAGTAGCCAGGGATGGGCCGAGGAGGCACGGCTGCAAGGGGTACCCATCGGGAAGGGTGCCCATCCTTCCTGTGCGGGTTGACTGTGCTCGCTGCTCGTCTACGATAACAAAGATGACGATCACAACGGTAACGACTACACCAGACAAAACCCCAATCAGCGGATGCCTTGAAAATTAGTGATTTGGATATTGAGATCGATTGTGAGATCGATAGTGGGATCGATCATGGGATCGATCGTGAGGACGATAGTATGGTCGGTCGTGAGACCGATAGTGATGTCGATTCATTGAGATCGATAGTGAGATCGCTCGTGCAATCTATAGTGAGAACGATTGTGAGATCGATGCTGAGATCGGTTGTGAGATCGATAGAGACGTGGGTAATGAGATCGATGGTGAGACCGATCGATAAAGAAATCGACTAAGAACCCGGGAACCCAAAAATCCGGGAACCTCACCGCCCACCGAAATCGGTCCGGAACCAACAACCGGAACCTGGGAACCCACCGGAATCGGCCGCCAATTTTCGCCAAATCCTTCAAGATCCGCTAGGACCCCTTCAGTGCAAGCATTGATTGGGGAATCGCAGCGATGACAACGATAACGATCACAACGATAGCGATAAAGATCAAAACGACTACAACGACAACGATCACAACGATCACAACGATAACGATAACAGCGATGACATCGGGTGAAGATAAACCGAGAATTTCTGAGATGCGGCGGCTCTGGGAAATGGATCGGGCGTCGCGGCCTTCTCGGAGCATTCCAGAACGCTCTGGTAGTGTTCTGGACCGCTCTGGAGCGGATTTTCCACGTCCCAGCCCCGTCCGGCTCTCCCCGCCACGAAACTGACCTCAACAGAGAGTCATGTTCAACACAGTGAACGGACATGGCTGGTTTTCCGAGGCTGTCGAACGACAAACTGTGAAAAGTACTGCCACTGGAGAAGATGTTCAAGGGACCAGCAATGATGCCCATAGTAAAGACACGCTGGACACAAGAACGTTTTGCCGCAAGCCAATGCTTGTGTCGAAACTTTCACGCTGTGACTCGTGATCAATAACGGAATCGTGGCTGAGACGCATGAGCGCAACTAATGATGCAAATGCTTGCCCGACAATAGCAGGGACGAGTTCTCCAGAATGGCCAACGCCGCGGGTCTGTTGATTTGCTTTGAGGAAGAAGTGTCCCACCTGCTACTGCGCTTGAAACGGTTGGTGTGTGCGTGTGTGTGTGTGTGTGTGTGCGCGTGTGCATTTGTGTGTGCGTGTGTGTGTGTGTGTGTCTGTGTGCGTTCTGCATTTGCCCGGTTGGCACCGCCCATGCAAATGTGCATGACCTTTGGCATCTTCCACGTGCATCCGCTTCGGCGGCTCTTTACTGCATGCGTCAACCACGTCCTGATCTCTAATCTGGAAGGCCGGGTGGCAATTTAACTCGGCGTGGCCCGCCCTGAAACGCGCTGCGGCGACACTCACCAAGCTCCGACGGGAATCCCACCAGCCCTTTGGGCGCCAGGTGGTCTAAGGAGGGTCTCTTTCCTCTTCCACAACCCTATACTCTTCGGGGAAAGGAGCCCTCCCCCTCCCCTCTCTGAAGTTTTTTGGGAGGGGGCCCGATGTGTCAGAGGGTCTGTTTTTCGGCCCCTGGGAGGGCCAATTGTTGACACCCCTCACAAGGATCGTGGCCCCCGAGGGGGGGGAGCTACATCGAGGACCCCCCTCTTTTGACCGACCGCCTCCAAGATGGCCTCAACAGGCGCTCCAGGGCTCCCAAGAGGCCCCTAAGGGGGCTCCAAGAGCGCCCCAAGAGGCCCAAGAGAGCTCCAAGAGGCACCCGAGAGGCACCCAAGAGGCCCCCGTGCGGCCTCAGAGAGCCCTAGATGACCTCCAAGATTGCTCAGATAGCCCAAGCTGGCTCAAGATGGCCCTAAGATGCTCCAAGCGGCCCCAAGACCGCTCCAAGACGGCTCGAGATGGCCACGGAGCCTCCCAAGCCTCCCTCGCTGTTTGACTATGCGTGTCTCTTCCCCTATCACCCCGTCAACTCTCATGGGCATCGCTTGTGGATGGGATGGACGGTGGGGGATACGCAGAGCGTCAAGACTATCTATCTATACATGCTTATGCGATTAGGTGTGTCGATATATACATATATACACACACACACGTTTTTTTGCGTCGGCGGCGAGGCATGGGTCGTCTGCGCTAGCGGATGGGCCTGAACGGGGGTGCCGTTAGAGCGAATCTGTGTATACATGCATACGTATCCGTGTGTGTGTGTGTATGCGTGTGTCTTGCCCTTGCCCTTGCCTTTTGCTCCCGGCGACGAAACCTGCCGACAACAAAAGCTCTGGCTGCCGGAATGGCGAATTGGCTGGGTGTTCCTGGTCTTCGCCTGGGGGGCGCCTCGTGTTGGCCAAGTGCTCCGTCTTCTCGGCGGGTGGACCCCCGTGGGCGCCTCGTGGGCATCCGTGCTCGCTAGGTTTTTCAAGGACTTCGCCGCGTCACTGCCCGTGGGCCCCTCGTCGCAGCAACGCAGTTTGCACCACGTAGCTTCCACCACATAGCTGAAACCACCTAGCTTGCACCACGTAGTTTGCACCACACTGTCTGCATTATACGTGCATGTATGCACGGCACAATCCAGCTTGCACCGCGTATCTAACATCACAGAACTTCCATCACCTGAGTTACATCACGTAGCTCTTACCACATTTTTTGCACCGCGTAGCTTGCACGTCCGCAATGCTCACACTCACTGTTTGTGGTCCACGCTGGCAACCGTGGTATGTTCATGGATGCCGCTTCTTGCGAAGCAATTAGTGGGGCGCGCGAGGCATCGAGTCCACTTACAGTCAAAAACCCTAATAAGGACGTGCGGTAAGGACGCAAGACCCTTGGAAGCCGAAGTTGGAATTTTTGGGGCGGCGGACGACGAAAACCCCAAGGACGCAAGAGCAAGGAAGAGCAAGGACGCAAGGGTACCCTGAGCAAAGTCGCGCGTCCTTATTAGGGTTTTTAACTGTAGGTTTTGACCACGTCCCCGCTCTGTCCTTCCAGGCGTAAAACGGTGCCAACATCGAGGTATCGCAATCCGTGGCATGTCCCTCCTCCTTCCCTGGGCGCCCTTCCGTCCCCCCCCAAACCCCGCCCCCCCGCCCCCAGGTTCATGCCCGTGCGCAGTGTCGGACTTGCATCTCAGCGCAAGTGGTCGCACACGTGCCAAGTGCGCCTGTTCAACGAGGGGCAGGTCAACGTTTCAGACGACGTAGGACGTATCAGCAGTGAAGGGGTCCCCGCCCAATACTATGCTTTGAGTGTGGAAAGTCAGCTTGACATCGTCGATGTGAAACGCAACGTCAACATCCATAGTATCTTTCCGTGCGCACGCATTGCCGAGCCCGCTTCCCTGCAATTTGCGCTTGGCACTTCGTGAATGTGACAAGCGCTGTGGTCTACGCTAGATGCAGTCCGTGGGTGTTTGACGTCAGAGCAGATTTGGGTCTCAGTGCAATCGGCGAAGTTCTCGTTGCAATCTGTCAGTGTCCATATTGGCACGAATGAGTCGAATCAGTATCCAAGCGCATTGCAGGAATAATCCTGCCCAGGTGACAGTGTGGTGCCTGAAGCAACAAAGAGTATTAGCATCCATTGGCGTACGAAAGATGCGTTGCATGTTCACACGCTTTCGCATGTAGGGCCGCCGGTTCAGTCTCCAATGTCCTGGGCTGTGTTGGCGTTCGCGCGCTGGCCGTGAGCAGCGAACCTCTGAATCAATAGGGGTGGGCGTAAAGCAAGTCGAACGAATATACATGATTGGCGCCGCATCCACGCGGACCGCATCCGCACATACGTAATCGTTCAGAAGTGATTAGCCAGTCGAATCGGCGGTGCTTGTGCTGCCCCATCGGTCGACCGAACGGTCATAACGGCTGCAACGCTCCTCGGAACCGATGTAACCACATGTATGGATGACGTGACCAATATA